AGTTATTACCTCTTGATTATAGGTGGATATAGTTGAAAAAGGAATGTGGAAGCTTGAATTAAGAAAAAGGAAATGAGTAAAACAAAGTATTGGAAAACCTGAAAAAGGGAATGCAACAAAACAATAAACGCATCGACAGGAAGCCTTTTGTCAGCGAATTAAGAAACAGGACAATGAAACAAGAACGTTCCAGCTCAGAGCCTTCATGCAGATGACGTAGATGATTATAGACAGCTTAGTATATGTTTAGCCTTATATGTTTCTTGTTTGAGTCTTCATCCCAAACTGCTAAAACAATAATATATTAAGTTTTAAATTACCTGTTTAACTTGTTCCTAAGGTAAAAATGTAACCTAATTGGAAAAAAACTTTAATTTTTCCATTCAAAATGGTAACCACTTGTATATTTTTCATCAATCTTTAGCAAGAGCACACCATGGGTTCTGCAGTTGAAAATGTCCTTACCTTAGACACTCTCAACCCTAATGTCATTGAACTCCAATATGCTGTGAGAGGTCCAATAGTCATTAGAGCTACACAGATTGAAGACGAATTGTTAGCCGGAGAGAAAAAGCCTTTTCCCAAGGTGGTCAAAGCCAATATAGGTGATTGTCATGCAACAGGACAAAAACCTATTACATTTATTCGCCAAGTTCTTGCCCTATGCACCTACCCTGAATTGTTGAAGAGCAATGATTTTCCCGCTGATACTAAGGAAAAGGCAAAGAGGTTGCTTGATGGCTGTAAAGGTCACAGCCTAGGATCCTACTCTGATAGCTGCGGGCTTAATGTCATTAGAAAAGATGTTGCGGCCTTTATCGAAGAAAGGGATGGCCATCCCTCTGATTTCAATGATATTGTTTTGAGCACCGGTGCGGGCGATGCAATCAAGTCTGTGATGACCCTGCTGCTCACAGCCAAAGATGGTGTCAACAAAGCTGGGTTCATGATTCCCATTCCCCAGTACCCACTTTATTCTGCAGCTATTTCTGAGTTTGGTGCTCACCCTATTCCTTACTACCTCAATGAGAAGGCCAGTTGGTCTCTAGACGTGAGTGAGTTGGAGCGGGCTATTG